GGGTATCAAGCAGATTGATACAGCTGTTCATATTCTAAGCAGGGCATCCCCAGTTCCCTGTAGATGTGGCCAACCAGAATAAACAAACAAGAAGGGCCCAGCGCGGTGGCGCAAGTGGTTAAAGGTCCTCGCCTTGCATGCCCGGGATCCCATATGGGCGCCAGTTCTAATCCCGGCAGCCCCGCTTCCCTTCCAGCTCCCTGCCTGTGGCCTAGGAAAGCAGTCAAGGACGGCCCAAAGCTTTGGGACCCTGCACCCCGGAAGAGGCTCCTGGCTTCGGATCGGCATAGTATCGGCCTGTTGCGCTCACTTGGGGAGTGAATCATCGGGCGGAAGATCTTCCTCTCTGTCTCTCCTCTCTGTATATCCGCCTTTCCAATGAAAAAATAATAAAAATAAATCTTAAAAAAAAAAACAAACAAGAAGTCTTGCACTGGGGACAGGGGCAAGGGCCAAGTGGAACAAGGGACTGGGAAACTTCTTTAGGAGCATGTAACTTATTTTTTTAAGGATTTATTTATTTTTTAATTGGAAAGTCACATATACAAAGAGGAGGAGAGAAGAGAGGAAGATCTTCCATTCGTTGATTCACTCCCCAAAGTGGCCGCAATGGTTAGAACTGAGCAGATCTGAAGCCAGAAGCCAGGAGCTTCTTCCAGGTCTCCCACATGGGTGCAGGGTCCCAAGACCCTGGGCCATCCTCAACTGCTTTCCCAAGTCACAAGCAGGGAGCTGGATGGGAAGTGGGTCCACCTGGATTAGAACTGGGGGCCACATGGGATCCTGGGTTCTTGCAAAGCAAAGACTTTAGCTGCTAGGCTACTGTGAGGGGCTTGTAACTTCCGTTTAAGAGGATCCACTTTTAGACCTGAGAAAGGGAGATACTGTGCATTACCTGGGACCCTGGATATGGTGCTCAATGTTATTACTAAATTAGAGGCAGATTTTGTGTCTTAAGAACAGCGTGCTTTAGTCTGTTTTCTGTTGCTGTCACTGAACACCACAGACTGAGTCACATGAAGAACAGAAGTTCACCTGCTCATGGTTCTAGAGGCTGAGAAGTCCAAGGTGATGGTGCCAGCATCTTCTCAGGTTTCATCCTGTCCTATCACCATATGGCAAGACTGGCCAAGAGCTCACTCTGGTCTCTGTATTTCTTAGAAAGCTGTTAAAGGCATCACGAGGGCCTCATCCTCATAACCCCAACGGATTCTAATCATCTTCCAAAGACTTTGCCTCCAAACAGGACTAACATATCAACCTGAGGATTATGTTTCCAACATGTGAAGTTTTGGGGCCACATTTGAACCATAGTCCCATGCATGTGCTTTACCTATTGGAAGGAGAGTCAGCTGGATATGTGGTGACCAGCGAGATGCAACTCAGCGAGCATCTCTGGCTTTCTACCTTCTGTGTTCAGGATGGGATTTCACTGTCCTGCTCACAGGGAGTTCAGTGATTCTGTCACTTGATTTGACCATCAAAATGTGATGTGCACTACTTCCATGTAGAGGCATTAGGAAGACCAGTGTATGCATCACTCTGCTGCTACCTTTTCTCTTGCACAGTGATCAACAGTGTTCCAGACCAAGACAACTCCATGGATCTCTAGCTCCAGCATGAGAACTGGCATAGAGTCCACAGTGGTTCACACTGGGCATGTAACAGGAACAGGAAGCAAAGCTTTGAAGTTTAAACTCACTGAAATTGGGGGTTTTTAATCACAGCCAGGTACAATCTCTCCTGACTTAAAATGTGAAGATAATTCTGTATAGAGAATGCAGCGTGAGCACAGAGGCTGGAGATATCATGTACTGGATTGTCAGCAAATTATTTGATGGGCAAGTAAAGCAGCATTCTTCAGGAAAGGGAGAGACAGTGTGCATGATTGTTCAGGAGAGTGCAGATTAAAAGGGAAGGACATGATGGAGTAGTGGACAGACGTGATCAATGCATACAGGAGACTGCCGATTGGGACAAGAGTTATGTTAGGAAGTAAGGTCAAATTAAGACCCAAGTTAGGCAGTGGCTACGGAAAAAGACAAGGCAGTAGGTCAAATTAATACGCTGCCAGATGATCCATTGGAGACGGCAGAGGCTAATAGCGGTAGAATCCAAGAAAAGTATTAGGTAATGCATGGGAACTTGGGACCTTAGCTTTACTGTGCACTCTGTGTTTGCTTTAGTAACTTTCAGCAAATGGCCTGGTTAGAATCCAAGAATGATAGTCTTGTTCAGGACTGGGAAAGAAGTGACTGGTTGGTAAAGCCACGGATGCTGTGTTGTCTCCTTTTCCTTCTCTCCCTTGTAGGAGGTGAGCAGGTGACACAGGATGCCTATCAGTCGTGCTGATTGAGGCGGTCCTGCTGCAGCCAGAGCTCCAGCACCTCTGACATGCCTATTGTACAGCTTTGCTTTGTCCCCTGAAGACTGATGATGAGCCAAAAAGGCAAGGAGCTAAGGAGAGCAAAGGGCAGTCTTTGTCTGCATTTAGCCTTCTATATATAGAAGAAATAGGAGAAGAGGGTGAATTGTCAGGCCAATGTTAACTTTGCAAATTTCCACAGAACATTAACATTTACCCAATTTAAATATAGTGCCGAGGAAAGCAAGACTTTGTAAAAGTAGAACCAGGACAACAAACCACGGATAATTAAAAACCTTAGCCTCAACCCTGCCAAGGGTTCTTAGTTAATTTAATAAAGGTTGAGATATCATTTCTTAGGTGTTTGAAAGTTGGTTGAAATGGTACATCGTGTGACAGATGCCAAGTCATCAGTTCCTTGTGCCATTCAATAGCCTCTGTATTCTGTCCATCATTTTGTTACCCTGCAAGCTGTAATTGCTCATTTTTTATGTGAAATTCCTTTGCACACCACTCCATTTTTAAAGACTATTTTTGATTGACACAAAATTGTATGTCTGTGAGGTACAGCGTGAAGTATTGGATTGAGTCACATGGTATAACTAGTACATTTATCACCTTTTTTTTTTTCCTGGTGAACACCCTGAAAGCCTTCCCAGCTATCTGAACATACAGTGCATTCTTGTAACTATGTTGGCTGCTCTGCTGTGGTACACCAGAACTCACTCTCCCTATCCCACTGTAACACTGCCTTGCTGCTCAGTTTCTCCTTAGCTCCTGTTCCTTTTACTCTTTCCTTGTCCCTAGGAACCACTCTTCTACTACTAACATCCATGAGACCAAAACCTTTTTTAGATTTCGTGTGTGAATGCAGCATTTGCCTTTAAGTGTGTGGCTCAACTCACTTAACACAAAGTCCTACAGGTCCCACCTCTGTTGGTACAAATGGCAGTTTTCATTCGTTTTTTTTTTTTAAATATACCATTGTATATGTACACCACGTTTTCATTCCTCATTCATTTGCTGATGGGCAGTTTAGGTTGTTTCCATATCTTGGCTGCTGATATCCTCATTTTAAAAACAGACACCTATTTATTTGAAAGGCAAAATGGCGGGGGTCGGGGGGAAGGAGGAAGGGAAGAGCGAGAGAGACAGAGATTCCACCTGTTGGTTCATTCTCCAGATGCCTAGAGCAGCCTTTGTTGAGTCTCTTCATGTTCTATCCCCTAGTGGAATATGCCCTACTGAAACAGACTTCACATGATAGCCACTGAGCATCGATGTTATTGTGATCAGGGTGGTTTCTCAAGAAAGGGCTTCAAGGAAAACAGTGTTAGTATCGCCTGGGAATGTGTCAGAAATACACAATTTCAGGCACCCACACAGACCTTAGGAATCACACACTGTGTAGCAGGGCTCAGCAGTCTGGTTTTAACACACTCTATATGGCTCTGAGGCACGCGAACCCTCGCGGATCACTGGACTCGACGTGCATCAGAGGCACAGCCCAGGCTTCGCCAGCGAGGTGAGGCCTGGGAGAGTCCGCTGCTGCCCTGCAGAAAACGAGAGACAGCACAGCAAGTGGGCATTGGGACCGAGGTGAGACGTTTCCCTCCCTGTGCCTTTGCATCTTCACCTTTGAGATTAGACAGTGGGATGATCAGTAGTCCCTATTTAAAGATCCAAAGAGTAGTGTGGGAGGGAAAGATCTGCCAGCTATTTTTAGTATTTCACAAGTACAGAAATGATTGGTTTCCCTTAAATATACATGAACTGACCAATACATCTTGTTTGCTGTTCGGAGACCAAATAATAACTTACTGTGAGCTTCTTGTGGTCATTTATGTTCATGTTCCCAGGGCTTGTCACAGCGTCTGACTCAGTAGAGAATCTTTCAGGTACTGTGCTAAGTCCTATAAAGTCAGCATGCAAATACAACTTATTTTCTGCTGATTAGAAGTGCTGATCACGCAATTAACCATTTGTACCACAATAGGAAAGAGAACAGGTGACTCAACTGTAACATTGGCTTGCTAGTGTTCCTGTGGCCTTCTGCCCAATGTACTTATTCATGAATCAGTGTGGGTTCAATTATGATTTTCTGCTAAAACTGAATGCAGTTCCTTGGTTCTTCTTAGATCCATCTGGGTCACTGACAAGACCCTGCTGTGTCCGTGTGTGCAGTATGCTTACTGGCAGAGCAAAATTTGGCAGTGTGGCAGGAAAAGCAGATATTAACAGACGGCCTAGGCACAGGACACAGGCGGAGGTGTCCTGTAGCCCACACGGGAAAGCTTGTGATGGTGCCAGGGAACCTAGTTTTGCTTTGAAAGGAGTTCTCTTCCTCTGAATAATCAGTCTAAATTTTGGCATCTGCTGCTGTCTTGTGTGTTGTTAAGGGGAACAGGTTGAAGCTCTTTCCCTCTGTGTTGGCCTCTTAGAGGGAGAGCGAACGGGATGTGGCCTGCTGCTCCAGAAGGGAAGTGAATCAGGAAAGGCACTGGCTTCCCTCCAGTTCTAGCCATTGTCTCTTTGCTGGGGAGATTGTCTAATCCAATGGCTACCCTCTTAAAACTTCAACTCCAAAGTCACGCAGATGAAGGGGCGAGAGAACAGACCAAAGCTTGATTAGTTCACAGAACTCCAATTCTTTATTAATCACAGCTTGCTCACAATGACATACAGGAAAATAGCACTAATGAAGAGTAAATATGCAGGCAGCAACCTTCAGGAGTTGGGAGTTGGGGGAGAAACGACTTCAAAACTGCGATAGGTACTTAAGGTGGGTATCTGGTGATTCTTAGTTGGCACAAATGCCCTGCCTAGCCCCCCTTAACTGCGTTAACTTCACAGATGGAGTAAATTTGTTTTTTCAATAGGCAGGATTGCCTCACACTGGGGAAGAAAGACCAGCTTGAGTGAAAGTCCGCAGTGTTTCAGATTTTGTGAATGTGTGTGTTTCAATGCAATAACCAGCTCACAGTTTCCAAGTGGAAAAATATTCAGTAGCATCATGTACTTGTACTATAGGAAAGAGCTTAAAATGAACATCATCAATCATGGCATCCACAAATAAGCCACCTGACACATTAATTACTTAATTCATTCCATAAAAAAGAACTTAAACTAGAGAATTAAGCCCACTTTATGAAGAGCGATCTCATGGCTGCTTGAACCAGTTGATTTGTGTTCAGCGCTTTCAAAGGTTCAGCTTTTGCTTCCACACAGACTGATCTCAGATCTGTCAACTCATCCATCCCTCTCTAAAGCCAAAACACATCTGTGGCACATAATCCAGGAAAAGCAGAAGGAAATGCTATGACTGGTGGCTTTCTTAGCTTGGTTTTGTAGTTTCTAGGCAGTAAGTAGATTATGAGCGAACAAATGTGGAATTTCATGTGGAATCATAATACCTGTGATCTAGGTATGGTCTTAGACAAGCTCAGAGATTACAAAGCCATCCAGGTCATTAGGCAATGGTGGGTTTCTAGCACCATAAACTGTCTACTGACCTCATTGTTCTGTTGGAATGAAAAGGGCAGGGGATGGAGTTAGACATGAGGAGCTTCAAAAGGAACAGACCTAGCAAATTCATTTGAGTGGAAAGACACGACATCAAAAGCCTGTTACAGGACATGTAAGATTATGAAATAACTTGCATAATGCAATACTTGTATTTTTTAACAAAAATGTAAGTATTTACAAAATAAGATCCAAGGTATTTTTTAAACATCAAGCAAAACATTCTGCAAAGAGACCGCATTGATTTTTTTTTTATTTTTGATTCTGTTTTTAGTTTTTCATAATGAGTTCTTTTAAACCATGTCATACATTTCCCATACTGATATCGCATGATCCATTATAATATAGGCAGGGGGATTGACTATTGGTGGGGCGTGCCATACCCTCTGTCGCTTCAGCCAGACAGTTCGACCTGGAGCTCCTTGTTCCTGCGCACCTCCGCGGCATGCCTCTCCTGAAAGACACCAAGGGGAGAAACACGGTCAAGAGTCCTGCTGTCTGGTCCATGGAGCTATCAGATGGCCTGTGGGGGCCTCTGCACCCCTGTAAGGAGGCTATATTAGGAGCAATCTTTCTCAAGTTACAGGAAAGGAAAACATGAGTCCCCAAAAATGTCATGTTAGAGAAGATCTTACAAGACTTAAAGAATCTTAAAAAAAACAAACAAACAAACAAACCCTGTGTTTAATTATGTTGGGGACAAAACTATAACCAGTAGGTCACTTGAAGAGAGTTTTGTGTATTATGACTGCTGCATTGATCTGGAGACTAGCAACAAAGGATTACACGTTGAGTTCCCTGTCATTTTCAGTGGAGTCTTGACCTTTGTGTAACATTTTAAGGATGCTATGGTTGCTGATAGACATTTTGGAATAGTTGAATCTAGGAAGAAAATTCTCAAACTCTCAGACCATTCATCAGGCCCTTTTACGACCTGAATCTAAATGACTTTCCTAGTCTTAGTCTCTGCTGTCTGCTTACACATATATGATGTATCAATAAGTGGAATGATCCTTTTATATCAATTCCAGTGCTTGAGCTTCCTAGCCTTCCGTACTCACTGGTAAAGATCCAAAGCTTACTCTTTAAACTCTATGGCAGTGATCCATCTCTCCATGAAGATGTTCATGGGATGGCAGAGGGAGGTCATCTCACTTTCATTTAAATTTCTGCATACATCTTTTTTTTGGATGTGGCAGTCATTTTAATAAAAAGTGTATATGAACATTTCTGTTTTAGTTTCATTTGCTATATATCCCTTCGAGGTCACGGGGGGCATGGATTGTGTTTTCTCACTTTTGCTGTGCTTGCAGGCTCAGTGTTGCTTTGTACAGAGCAATGGGTGGATATGTATTGAGATGGGGAAATGGAGGCCCTAGCCTTGGGGTGGGAAGTGAGATTCCTGAGGAGGGAGGTGAGCAAGGAAACGTGGATCTAGCAGTTCTGAGTGCATACTTCTGACCCAGAAGACTGTGAGTTTTATGTATCACAGATGTTAAGAAAATTCATAACTAAGCTTTTGAATTGATATTAATATTACTTCTTTTTTGATTGAAAATGTTACTTAACACTGCTTTTCCCTCAAAGCCCAGGAAACTTCTTCAGGCTGTGTGGCTTCCTTTAGTTGAGGGCCAATGATCTGGTTAGCTAAAAAGCAGATCTTATTAAACTCTATTAATCACTAGGATTCTATGTTTACAAAGTCTTTTATATAATCATATTGTGCATCTTACGGTAATTAATATGCAGTAGCCTGCATCAGTACAGATTTTACTTGAATTAATTCCCCTAATATTTACAACAGTTCAGCAGTGGGGACTGTCTTTGCAGAGAAACTAAGGCACAGACAGGCTAAGTGACTTGGCTAAGTTTGCACAGTTAACAGGTGATAACTTGGAGTTCAAACTCAGAGAACCTGGCTGGACAGTCCACTGCCTCAATCACAGCTGTATAGCTTTACTGTCAGTATTAGCAAATGATTTTACAGTTTTTTGAAAAATATGTCTTTCCAGGTGTAGGTTCTGGAAGAATAAGGCATAGACCACCCTATATTTCCTTCAAAGACACAGAATCAGAGTGAGCAGGAAGCTGATTCAGGAGAAGTTGAAAAGCAATTTTACTTAATTGGGGTAAATGAGCTTTTTGTGTATGTTCAGAACCCATGAAGAGAAGAGGAAACTAGGCATGTATAGAGAAATCAGATCCTGTTTGGGAAATGTCCCAGGGGAAATGAGCATGGATACAGCTGATTCCTCATTCTGGTCCGCTTTTATTAGGAAAAAGATGCAGCAAAGGCTTTTTATTTTTTTCAGGCAGAAGGAAACTAATTAGTAAGAGCTGAGCTCTGATTAAAATCGAGGAAAGCCCAAACCATCACCGTGCTAGAAAAAAACCAAAGCTTCAAGTTTAAAGATTTACATACACTGTGATTTGTAACAGGAAACATTATAATGAGTATCACTAGGCGACTTAGGCGAGCATTTCTTACTAAGTGCAAAATAGGCTTTAAAGAAATGGATTATGCGTGGGAAAGAATAAATATGAGCTATGATTAGAGACATTATGAAAATAGAACATTTAAACCTTGTGAGTTACTAGAAAAATATTGCTTCTAGTCCGGTGTTTTAGCATGTCTATTACTTCAACACTTTACATTTAAGTTACAGATATATACTCATGAAATTGTTGATGTGATTATTTATCAAATATGCAGGGAAATAAAAGGTACATGCAGAAGTCAGGTGATGGGCAGCGCAATCTGTCTTTCCCGTCTGTGAGATGGTTGCAAACCATGCAATTTAAAGCTTCATTTCCACCAGTAAATTTTTATGTGTAGTGAATGTATGCACTGTTGCTAAAATTATTCTATATGTTTTAACTGATTTTATAAAAATCAATGTAGATCTGATAATACTATGGGCTCCTAATAGGGTCAGGTGGTGAATATTTTGCTGGATGCCTTCAGTATGTTAGAGGAAGAAGAGGAGGAGGAAAATGCATCTTCAATCATTCTCCCATCGCACCTGTACCTCTTCCCTTCTGTTTCCCTCCCTCTACCTTCTCTCACTACTCCAAGAGCGAGAACATTCTTAACTTCACCAATGTGTCAGTCATGATGCACAGACTACAATTTTAAGACCTGGTCATCATTATTTGTGTCATTCAACTTGAATAATATCCAGTTGAGATCGATTAATGCAGATCTTTGTGAGACAGACATCCCTTCTCTGCATTTGTCTCTTTTCTATATAGTAGATACTATGGAAATAGGAAGTTCAAATGAAAAGTGTAATATTCTATCTTGGAGTCTACGAAAAAGGATGAGAAAAGTGCTTTTCAGGGAACTGCATTGCTTTTCATCTCGATTGATGGGAATGAGTGCATGTTCAGCTTGGTGAGGGGGAGACACTAGGATACCAGACGTTAATACAATGAACATCTCCCAGGATCTCCCCTTGTCTATGGTTCCAAGCAATGTGACTAGATCCTATCAGTCCCATTTGGTTTTCTTACATGGAGAGAATGAACTTACTCATGTTCATGACTATCCTGGTCTTTCCTGGCAGATTTTCTCATGTAACATTTACATCAAACACTATATATGAGTACTAATCAAATCAATTATGATTTATGTATTATTGCACATAATATACTATTTAAAATATCTGATACTTTCAATGTAGTGGTTTTGCAATAGATAGGTTCTTAAGGTTTGTGCAGAAATCTCATAGATTTAAATAGCATTGGTCCCTAACAGCATTCACCTCTGGAAAACTTGACAAAAATCTAACCTGAATGTTGGATGCCTCCACCATGTTGTAATCCTCCACTGAAGCCAATGCTACACTGCAAGACCCTGCCCATGGGGTTAACTGGCCTCACCCCTGCAGCACATTTTGACTAAGTCTCTGGTCCTTGGTCATATGTGAGCCAACCTAGCTGAGCTACAAGTGAACAAATCCATCTCCTTAGAATTCTGTTGTGAGTACCTTTTCCTGCAGACGTTCAATAATAGCAGCTAGATTAGCCTCACGGTTTTCCTTAATTTGCTCCATTTTCAGGATCAGCTTTTCCTCCGCCATCTTGCTGAAGTTGTTGTTCTCCTCCAAAGCCTTCTGAAGGACTTCTCGCTCATGTTCCCTCTTCTCTGCCAGTTGTTTCAGCACTTGAGCCTCCTGAGACTGGGGAAGAAAAATATATGCATCTTATAATGACCTGAATGAAACCCATGCAAACTTGGCAGCACATGATCCATTGCCTCAATGGGAGGGAGAGACTGTTCTGTTCAGATGAATTGCATTTCCAACCTTGAGTGTTGCTGTCAGCTTGTATTCATCACCAGGGTTTAGACTTCTCTACAAAATCCAGAGAAATGTGGTCAGTGGAATTTTTAGCTGGGAATGTTTTGGAAAGACAGTCTTAGAAAAAGCAACATTTAAATCTCATGGAGGAATTTTAAAAAACCTGCAAACAAGCATTTATGCAACAGGAGATGCTATAATTAATTATTGAATGGTGATATTCCATTGAGGCCCACAGAAAAGGAGTGATTGTGGGGCACGGCCTGATGTTTTCCTACTCTGCTGTTTCTGGAGCTGTTTCCAGCTGTGGAGACCGAGCCCTACAATGGGCTCTTCCACTTTGTTCAATCACACTGTCAAGTTTACTTTCTCTTCTGATTCCACATCCCTCCCTTTGGTTTCTATGAGTTAAATTCTACTTGGAAACTTCAGAACAGCAAAGCGTTGAAACCACAGACATCCATCTTAAACAAGAGGAGGACCCCTAAGGAGTCACTCAAATACCACTGACACCCACTGATGGGAGCAGAAATGACAGATGCAGCTACAGTGGCTGGCTCGCTTATCCTTTGTGCACTATGCTTTTCCACCAGGGGGCGTAAGCATGAACGGTATGTATTAGTCATTATTGGTAAGCTGATAAGAACGCAGATGTCTGATACCTACCTCTGAAGAGCCTAAGATGCTTTTGTGGGGGGTTCAGGGAGCTACATTTGTAATAAACAGCTCTAGTGATTCTACTGTGGTAGTTCACAGTCTACATGCTCTGCTGATTCAACTCTCAGGTCTATCAGATACCCTGGATGTTTCAAGTCATGCCTTTCTCCATCATTTTCTTCTCCACACTGCGTAACTAAGGGAAATATTGCCTGGCACTTATCTGTCCAGATTCAAGACTAACTTACTCTATCCTCATGGCTCCCTGTCATGTCTTAGAACTGTCCAATGCACAGAGGTAACTGTGCCCTCACAGGGAAAACTATAGTGTGGATACTTAATGGTTGATGAAAATAGTATTCCTGTTCATTGGCCTGTGATGCACTGATTGCCACTGAAAGCACAGATAGGGGAACATTTGAGTGAACGGTGGAGATTATGAGGCTTTACTGGAAGATCCTGAAGTATATTTTCCTTACAGAAGATTTTATAAGAATGGTAAGGTCAGACAGCCTTGTGAGTCTCCCCTGACGTGTGCAACCCCAAGGTTTATCATGAATAGGTCTGTGGTTCATCTTGCTTCTTGCCTTAACCCTGCAAGGATTTCACTGGCAGTTTTAGGGACTCGGCACACCTTTGCTTTTAGTTTCCAGGGAAACTAACACAAAAAGTAATGATAAAAGTGTGACACAAATCAACTTTGAAACCTGGTGCAGCCCTTCTGGGGAAATACAAACAACTATCTTGGAGTTGATTCATCCCACTGCCTCTAGGTGGCACTGTTGGTAAAGCATTCTAACAGATTTTGCTTATCTACTTTTGGTCAAACTGTTGAAGTGTGTGTGTGTGTGTGTGTGTGTGTGTGAGAGAGAGAGAGAGAGAGAGAGAGAGAGAGAGAGAAAGGTACTTAAGGCTTCCCTCTCAGAAAAGTCTTCATGAAGTTTTTTTTTTTTGTATATGGATAAAATGGTATGTATAGGGTATTTGTTAAGAATCATATGACATAACACCTGTATGGTGTTTAATCCAGTGCCTATTAACATGTAAGATGGTGCTAAACAAGCATTCATCATTAAAATTGAAAGTAAAACCCAAGTCATGTGATTAGCAAAGGCTGGCAGTGGACTTACTGAGCCCTCTCATGCATGCACAACATCAGTTCACATTCTTTTGATTAGAGCTGGTGGTGGATTCAGCAACCGTCATGGCTGACAGGAATCTAAGTCTTCCCCAGACTCCTCCATTCCCCCCACATATGTGTGTCTGTGGAGTGATATTGTGTTGACAGGAAACCTCTCTGTGAAGTGAGCACCTTGGGAAAGGAGAGGGACAACTCTGATCCTTGACTTCAGAACTTCCAGCTTCCTGGAGGTCCAGGCTTCTCTGGTAAGGATCAGAAAGCCATGGAGGCAGTCCCAGGAAATAAAAAAAAAACCAAGCCAATCAAAAGAGAGCAGAACAAAACTTCCCAAAATTCCTGAATGTGTTATTTTGAAACATTTTCATGCCCTAACATAGTGACACATTGATCCTCCAAGCTTCACATGCTCACTGGCTTCAGCTGCAGACTGATGATCTTCTGTTTGCTACACCAATAGCTCCCTTCTCCCTGGCCTCCATGCATTAGAGCTCCCCTTGCTGCCCCCACCCCGGTGGGGGAGATCATGAATGTTTTTCATGGCTACCTTTTCCAAGTGGCCTCTCCTGAGGAATTGTACCATGTTCAGAAACCACCTGCTTGCGTCCTGCTCTGGTTCAGGATTATATGTGTTGTAGGGTGGGGGTTTGGTGCTAGGGATATGGATTTAGGGGCAGCACAGTGCTCTTTCACATTGAATCAGCTCACTGAGACATGACTGTGGATGGCCACCAAGAGACCACAATTACAGGGATTTTGATTTTCAGCTGCTCAGATTCACTTTGTCAGTGTTTTGTCATGTTTAACTTCATGTTGGCATCTCTGCATTTTTCATTCTGCATTCTGATTTACTAAGAGAGCAGGGCAACAGGATTGAGAGGGAGAAGGTTTGGCAGTAAAAGGCTAGCTCAGGAAGGCAGATCTTCTCAAATTTCTTGTCTGGATGGGACACATGGGGTCTGCATGAGCAAACATTCTCACAGTTCCCATGATAATGCATGAAGAATTCCTATGGCAAGTAATGCCTATTGCATTTACTGGAGCGCACCATTTGGCTTAGGTTTGTAATGACAATCTTTGGTGCCAAATGAGATTCTACAGCACAGGTGGCAAATGCATTTCTTCCTCCCTTTTGCCTTTTTTGGGATAAGATTTATCTTATTTGGAAGGCAGAGCAACAGAAGGAAGTGGGGAGAGAGGGAAAGAGGATAAGAGAGACAGAGAACAAGAGAGTAGCTTTGGTTTTCATGTTTACTCTCAAAATGACTGCAACATCTAGGGCTGGGTCGGGCCTGAGCTTTGAGTCAAAAATCCCATCTGGGCCCACCACATGCATGGTAGAAGCCCAAGCACTTGGGTCATCCCCCACTGTTCTCTGGCCCTCCAGGATGCATTAACAGGAAGCTGGATCACAGTGTATCTGAGATTGCTGGCACTCTGACATGGGATGCAGGGTTGCAGATGATGACTTAATCTGCGGTGTTATAATTCCAGTCTCATGTGCATTTCTCTAACATAATTAATGAGGTGACACAGCAACAGAAGGCACTGCAGAGCTTTGCCACATGTGCCTGTTACTAACAAAGGCTTCAGGACTGTTCATTTTATTTTAATGCAGCAGCCCGTACACATTGAAAGGAAATATAACATCCATCATCTTCTCAGCTGATAATACTTTTAGGTCCTAATAATTGCCTATGTTTTTTTCTTTTCTTTTGCTTTTTAAGGCAATATAATTGGGGGGGGGGGGTGGAGTGATCTTCCATCTGTTTGCTCATTCCCTGAATGCCTGGAACTGTCAGGCTGGGTCAGGTCAAAGCCTGGACTAGGAGCCCAATCCCTGTCACCCACTTGTGGGGCAAAGATCAAAGTACTTGAGCCATCATGACTGCTGCCCAGTGTGGGCAGGAGCAGAAAACCGGAGCTAGGCATCAAGCTGAGATGCAAACCCAGGCACTGTGGTATGGAATGTGGGTGTGCCACGTAGCATCCTCACTGCTGGACCAAGGGCCCAGAGCCTTTGTTGCAAATCAAAGTCAAATCGATGACAAAAGTATAGAATGTGGAATCAATTATGGAGGCAAGTATTTCTCAGAGTAAATATATCTCTGTGTCCAGAGTTTGGTTCCTACTCATAAGCGTCCACTTTGTGAGTTCTAGGGTCCCTGTAACTCAGCCGATTCAGGAAAACAGAGTGACTATTTCTTGTATAGGCTAGTATCCAGCAATGCTACTCGTAACTCATCTATTTTCCTTCCATTGAAGAACTTGGTTCTCATCTGAATATAATTTAATCTCCCAGTGATACCATCGAGGAAGAAAACTTGATTATTTGGTGTTTGTATATGTGGCCTAATAAGTAGATACTGCAGAGAACTACACTAATATATGACGTGAAACAAATGTGATGGCGTGGAATGAAAACATATGATTTACGAAAGTGCAAACATGTAGTGAAGTTTTCACTACATTTTTTCAGAGGTGTTTTTATCTATGCCTTGGTGAATCAAAAGGAACTTTGTGTGGACTGATAGGGAAGCTGGAACAGAGCTGGGGGGGCGGTGGGGCTCCTGTAGAAAGCTGTTCAAAGTAAATTGTACAAGGACAGAGTGTCGGGCCTTGGATAGATACATTTCTGAAGAGTGTGTACCTGACGAAGAAGGTCACTGAAATACAGAAATGGAAAATGAGGGCAAGATGATGATCAACTGCTAGGATGCAAATGTCAAGGCAAAATATAGAACTGAGACCTTGCACATGATGTCCTGGGAGACGGGGGAACATTCTCCAGCTTGCTAGTGTGGAACCCGAGGGTTGTTATTGGGGAACAGCCCTTCTAGCCATGGACCTCTCCAACTGAATTCAGTATCATGTAAATACTTACATGAGAGGCACACAGAAGGGAAAATAATGAAACATACGGAAGTTATTGTACGTTTAGGGGCATTTTTACATTTTTAAAGGAGGCTAATTGCCATTTCCTATGTTACTGACTCTTAAGAGTTTAATCATTGCGCAAATGAAATGGAGGGTAAATTTGAGTTAACTGGTATATAAAACTCACTTCAGAGGCTTAAGATTACAT